CTGGCTGTGCTAAGACATAAAACTCCCACTGAACTAAACGATAGACTTTAAAAGCAAGAAAAGGCTGTGTTTTTATTTCTCAGTTTAACCTTCTCTTCAGCTGATAATGCAGCATTCCTAAAACCACACTTAGAAGTCTTATCTTAATTCCAGCCAAATGGTAAACATAAATGACATAGCTATGTATCATTCTGGTAGGTAAGTCAAAACTGGCTTCCCATGTGCAGTTGAAGCAACGATGGCACTGGAAACTCCCATGTTATAAAGAGAATTCTGCTTCATAGTGCACTGAAAAATGTGGTATGTCATGAGAGAAATAGTTGTCTCTGAAGCTTGCGAAATCTGATGTCATTGCGCTCTCAAAGTTCTAGTAAGTGTAAAATGAATGGAATGAAACTGAAGTGATGACTAACAATAACCACTCCTGCCTGAAACGGGAGTAGCCGAATCCTACTGTTCCTAGCTGACATCATCAACTGATTGATGGTCTCTTTCTTGTAAAACCCTAAAATATTCAGGAATGTCCCAGGTTATAAATTGCTTTATGATCCTCTTAACAATTGTATTAGTCTCTTGAGTTGAGAAGTGGTTCATAATTCCTATTTCATTTATCCTAAGAATAGTCCTGTGAATTATTATTTTTTATAATACTTTATTAATTTTCCATTTTATATTATTTAAATATAATCTTATTTTTTAACACTATTATTTGCTCATATGAGCTAATCAACTTCCCTCCCTCCCGCCTCATGGTTACCATAATTCCTTTCTATGTCATAGCATTTGTTTACATTTCATCCATTTCTATTGCCCCATTTAAAAATATTTGTGTAAAAAGGTATAAATCAGAAATTTTACAAGTCTTCTTAAGTCAGTACTGCTAGTGTTGTTAATTGGTTGCAGTTGTCCTTCAAATATTGTATAAATTTGCCCCAGTCTTTTTGGAAAGTTTGATCACGTTGGTTTCGGATTTTCCTGGTCAGCTTCGCCAGCTCTGCGTATTCCATAATCTTCGTCTACCACTCTTCAATCGGTAATTCCTGTTGCTTCCATTTTGGGGCTAGCAAAGTCCTCGCTGCCGTTGTTGCATATCTAAACAGTTTTTGGTCTTTCTTTGGAATTTCTTCAGCTACTATACCCAATAAGAATGCTTCTGGTTTTTTGACAAATGTACTTTTGTACATTTTCTTTAACTCATTATTTATCATTTCCCAGAAAACCTTTCCTTTACTACATGTCCACCACATATGATAGAAATTCCCTTCCTTTTCTTTACATTTCCAACATTTCTTCTCTTTTGTCTTATATATATTTTAGCAAGTTTAGTTGGTGTTAAATACCACCTATACATCATTTTCATAATATTTTCTTTTAATGTGCTACAGTCAGTAAATTTTATTCCTTCATTCCATAACCTTTCCCATGCCTCTAACAAATAGTTCTGTGAATTAAGCCATTACTTCCATTTTACAGATTACAAACTAGGAGGCTGTGGTCTCAAGGTCCATCAGGTGCTCCAATGGCTCAGATTTAATGCAGTTCTAGGCTGTGATAGCCATGAGGCATTTGAGAATTATATAGGAAAATCTTACATATGATTGTAGTTTCAGTGTATAATTTAACCTTTAACAGGGTGGGGAACCTTTATAAAATAAAATGCCTTAAACCTGGCCCAACAGCATATAGTTGCCCCAACACCCATGCAATTGTTTCAACAAAATTATCACAATCTGGCTGCTGCATTTTGCACTAACTGGAACTTCTAGTCAAGAGTTGACACACATAAGAGTGCATAGCAATAATCCAGTCTTGAGGTTGCACTGAATATATCACTGTAGCCATTTGTGGCATATCAGCCAAAGCTAGTAGAAAGCACTCCTAGCCACTGAAGACACTTGGCCTCCAGCATCAGCAATTGAGAAGTACTCTTAGCCTAACAGCCTGCTTCTTCAGATGTAGTTCAACTCCATCCTGAACATGCAGTTGATCAGACCTAGGAACTATTCACACATAGGACTTCGATCTTACCAGGAGTGAGGGTTTTTTTTTATTCACCATTCCAGTCCACCTCTTAAGTCCAGGTACTGGCCAAGGACTTGTGCAGTAATACATGATTCAGATGTTACAGAGAAATAGAGATGTGTGTCATCAGCATACTGATGACTCTGTGTCTGTGACCCAAATCACCTAATGACTGCACCCAGCTGCTTCATATAGAAGTTAAATAGCATTTGGGGAAGGGGCACTGCAGCATCCTACAACACAATTGCAAAGGAGCTGAAAGGCAGTCATCCAATGCTTTGTTGTTGTTTAGTCGTTTAGTCATGTCCGACTCTTTGTGACCCCATGGACCAGAGCACGCCAGGCACTTCTGTCTTCCACTGCCTCCCGCAGTTTGGTCATACTCATGCTGGTAGCTTCGAGAACACTGTCCAACCATCTTGTCCTCTGTCATCCCCTTCTCCTTGTGCCCTCCATCTTTCCCAACATCAGGTTCTTTTCCAGGGAGTCTTCTCTTCTCATGAGGTGGCCAAAGTATTGCAGCCTCAGCTTCACGATCTGTCCTTCCAGTGAGCACTCAGGGCTGATTTCCTTAAGAATGGATAGGTTTGATCTTCTTGCAGTCCATGGGACTCTCCAATGCTTACTGTCTGGAAATGATCACAGAAGTAGCGGAACCTCCTATACTGTGTCCCCAACTTGCAGAGGTAATCCAGGAGGATTCCATGGTTCATGCTATTGAAAGCTGCAGCAAAAGTCAAGCAAGAGTAACAGAGTAGCACTCACTCATCCCCCCCCCCAAGACAGTGGTTCTTAAAGGGTGTGGTGCACCACACAGGTGTGGCAGGAGAGGATAGCAAGTGTGGTAGGAATATTCAAGGACAATCAAAGAAACATTTAAACATTTCAGTGCAGTACAGTTAGTATTAAAAAATTTTTTTTAAAAAAAACCTGTGATCAGAAACAGTATCCATGCCTCTCTTCAAGAGCATGGGCTATTATTCTACAGTTCTCCACGACATATTGTGAACAGGGATTTTCAACTCTGACAATTATGAAAGATCAGAAAAGAGAAAGGCTTCTTTGTGGTGTTGAGGAGATGAGTGTTTATCTCACATTAGACCTAATATAAATGAGATTACCCAGCAAAAGCAGGCTCCCACCTCTCAGTGAGTTTGTATAATACTTAAGGTACATATGTGAGAGGCTTGTTTATATTTACATTTTGAGAATGATTCATGTTCTTATGTAGCTGCGTTCTTTTATACTTTCTGGATGTCTCATGGTCATATTATAAAGTAGTTGTGTTCTATGTGTTTTAGCACTGCTAGGAGGAGTTTCTTTTATTTTCCAATGTATTTCTTATCAATAAAAAATTCTGTGTGGCACAAGCAAATTTTTATTCTGAAGGGGGGGGTTCCAGAGAAGCAAATTGCCAGGAGCTAAGGAGTTAGGGACGCGGGTGGCGCTGTGGGTTAAAGCCTCAGCGCCTAGGACTTGCCGATTGAAAGGTCGGCGGTTCGAATCCCTGCGGCGGGGTGCGCTCCCATCGTTCGGTCCCAGCGCCTGCCAACCTAGCAGTTTGAAAGCACCTTCGGGTGCAAGTAGATAAATAGGGACCGCTTATCAGCGGGAAGGTAAACGGCGTTCCGTGTGCTGCGCTGGCTCGCCAGATGCAGCTTGTCACACTGGCCATGTGACCCGGAAGTGTCTGTGGACAGCGCTGGCTCCCGGCCTATAGAGTGAGATGAGCACACAACCCTAGAGTCTGGCAAGACTGGCCCGTATGGGCAGGGGTACCTTTACCTTTAAGGAGCAGTTAACCATGATGTTGAACTGTTTTGGAAGAAGGTTTGGATCTGAAGTGTCCCTTGCATTTGTTCATAGAGAAGTTGTCAATTCTCCCCCATCCCTGGTGTCCCATACAGTAACCACTCTTGGTAGCCCTTTGATCATCAAGTGGATTTTTGGAGGACATGAAAGGCTGTACCAAGAAATGGGGTTTGAAAAGCCACTGTGTTCATGAATCACTGTGTGTTGTTCTTTGGAACAGTGTTTAAAATTCGCCATGTGCATTTTGTACCTGGCTATCGGCACTTGCAACTGAGTGAAGATGCCTAGGTTCCAGGATGGTGCCTGACGTCTCCACCTTCTGGAGGTGCATGCCTGGGGATGCTTGGATCTTGACTGTTTTCACACACTAGCAACACATCCTGTAGAATTCTATTCATTACATTTTATCTGCACAATCAGAATGAATTTCAGGAACCAAAAAGTCATATTGAAAAATACCACTTTTGAACCGACTGGCCCCAAAATGGCAACTAGGCATTCTATTTTGACAACTGTAACTCTGGTTTGGCACCTAGCTTATATATCTGAGTTTCTAACACTGCTTTGGAGCCAATCAAAATGGGTTTCACAATATTTATAAGTGAGACCTATAACACTTAATTGCATTTTCTAAGAGGTGGCATTGAAATTGTCATTTTACCTGTGCCAGGAAACTGATGTCTGATCCTCCAGGTTGTATTATTGATTGGTTGGAGAAACTAGAACTACTTTGTAGGTGGGTAGACTCTTTTTTCCCCCTTTGTGAATAAGCTTCACGGGAAATGAATAGTGGGGATATCTTTTCATGGTGGTTGGAAGACCAGTAAATCAGCTGAACTGTTAAGCAGTCCACTCTTCAAGGTTTTCTAAAGTGCACACAGCATTAGTATAAGTGAACCTGATAGTTTACACTTTTAAATTAAATCTACAATTATTATTTTTGCCTATCACATAAAGTGAATTTTCACCTGAGTCAGTATTAAGTGGTCTTGGATAACTGACGTAAATAGAGCAGATAGTTTGCGTGCTGTCCTTTAGAGGTTTTGACATCATTACTTCTACTTACTAGGAAGCTTTAGCCATCTGCCAACTGAGCTTGATACAGCTAGTAGGAAGATGTAGTACAGCTTTGCATATGAGTAATCATCTAATTTTCTGTTTAACAGGCTTAGGATGCTAATCACTGTTACCTGACTTCAGTAGAAAAGAATCTGAGAAGACAGAGGAATGGCTGGTTGCGATTTCATGATTTAAGTTTTTTCTTTGCACAAGTTGCAGGCTAGCTGGCAGAGCTGTTGCTATGGAAACAAACAGTCAGCTCCTGAGAGTGCCAATGGAATGCTAATCTGGTATAAATGAGGAGTTCCAGCTGCTGCCCAAAGGTGGGAGACATGAGAGAGGAAATGAAGGGAATTAAACCATGTTCCATTATTTCAGTAGATATCTACTCAATATTGATTGGCATCTTTTTCAGGATCTATCTACTCAATGTTAGCATCTTTTTATATGAGCTTCAAAGACTGCAGTAGCTGGAAATAAAATGCTTCCATTATAGATACAAAAATTAAAGTCTTCTGTTAGTGTGGTCATTTCCCACCATCTACATATTTTAGATGTTTACTAGAAATTATGAAGTGACTTTGAACTCAATGTTGTTCTTAGTGCAATAATCAGGCTATGAAGATTGGTGCACTGGTGTGATTAATCAACATTCTTCAGTCACAGATTTAAGTCCTGCTAAATTGGTGAGACTGACAACAAGCAAGGAGTTGATTTGGGATTCTTAGTGTTGTTATCCAACTCTTTCCAACAAATTCTAAATTTGATTAAAAATAATGGTCTCTTTCCTTTTACAGGAACTGTATTGTGGTATGACTTGTTTACTTAAATTAAATTAAATTAATTAACTGCACATCTATAATGACCTGTGAACTTGTTTGTATTTGAAGACATCTTGCTCTGCTGTACAGTTGAAATCAATATGCTCAGATTCGATGTGCAAGAAAATCTTTAAAACAGTTCTGAGTAGTACTTATTATATTTATATACCAACCTTCATGGAGATCACAGGGTGACATAATAATAATAATAAATAATTTTTAATTTATACCTTGGCCTCCCTGGCCAGAGCTGGGCTCAGGGCGGCTAACACCAGTAAAATTACAATAAAAACATAATGGGGGCGGGGAGAAACCAATTTATTAAAATATGGGTTAAAATACAATTTAAAATGCAGCCTCATTTTAATAGTAGCCCATAGATCAAAAAAACCATAAGGGGAGGGAAACATAAGGGTCAGCCTGAGTCCAAATCAAAGACCAGGCAGAACAGCTCTGTCTTGCAGGCCCTGCGGAAAGATGTCGAGTCCCACAGGGCCCTAGTCTCTTGTGACAGAGCATTCCACCAGATTGGGGCCAGTACTGAAAAGGCCCTGGCCCTTACAACATGAAACACCTTGGTCTTGCCTTGGTAATGGACTGGATGAGAGCCAACAAACAAGCTCAATCCAGATACGAATGAGGCTCTGTTAGTGGGCAGTTCTCTAGACAGGATGGATGGAAGGTTCCCTGCTCTTGATGGGGTTTCGTTCCCTCTGCAGCAGTGGGTATGTAGCTTGGGGATACTCCTGCATCCTTTGCTGTCACTTGAATCTCAGATGGCTTCAGTGGTGCAGAGTGCCTTCCATCAGCTTCGGCTGGTGGCCTAGCTGTGCCTCTATCTGGAAAGGGATAGCCTAATTTCCATCGTCTGTGCTCTGGTAAGCCTTTGTAGATGGTTTAGAAACTTCAGCTGGTGTAGAATTTGGTGGCCAGGCTGCTCACTGGTGCAAGAGGCTTTCAGCATATTACACCAATCCTGGCCCAACTACACTGACTGCTAATTAGTTTCCAGGCCCAGTGCAAAGTGCTGGTTTTGACCTATAAAGCCTTAAACTGCTCAGGTCTGCAATAGCTCAAGGACCACCTTTCCCCAAATGAAGCAACCCAGATGCTGCAGTCATCATCAGAGGCTCTTCATGTCCCTCCTCCACTAGAGATCCAGAGGGTGGCAACATGAGAACAGGCCTTTTCTGCACTGGCTCCCTGGTTGTGGAATGCTCGCCTTAGGGAGGCTTGCCTAGCACCTTCATTACATATCTTTAGGTGCCAGGCAAAACCTTCCTCTATAACCAGGCCTTTTAGCCTGATGAAAATTCTGTGGCCTTTTAGATGTGTTTGAGAAAAGAGGGAGCTTGGTTTGATTTGATTGGATTAGATTAAATTAGATAATTTCTGTTCTTTTGTATTTTTATGGATGAAGGGTGGTTTTTGTGTGTGTGTGTGTGTGTGTGTGTGTGTGAGAGAGAGAGAGAGAGAGAGAGAGAGAGAGAGAGAGAGAAATCCTGGGCCATTAGCTGTGCTGATGATTACTGGAGACCAACATTGCCTGGAAAGTCGCAGGTTGCCTAACTCTGGCATAACATAAATGGAGTTTTTATAACTTTTAAATTGATCCTAATAATTTAAATTTAATTTAAATTTATCCTCCTAATGTTTTTCATTTTTATTCTAATGAACCAATGTGATTGTAAACGTTTATAAATAGACCATTTTACTTAAAATCTTTATTTTTCTGGCTTTTTTCATAGCAAAATCATGAACTATCTCCTAGTTTCTCTCGTACGTTCATACTCTATAGACAAAATAGCTTGGTGACTTACTTCTGCTTGCTTACCCTTTATGAGCTAGACATTTACTTACACATATTTGAGTTTGTAAAACCTAGTAGCTGGAATGACTTCTACTGTTCCTGAGGCCAGTGTCCCTGACTGTTAGTGTGTTTTTCTCACCCACCAATTTTCTCTCTCCTGTCAATCCACAAGGAATCTTGCTTAAAGAATGCACTTGCAAATCAATATAGTCCTGGTTATTTATGAATCTTCAGATTTTGTAGTATTACACTTTTAATTTAATAATTCAGCTTGTAATATAAAGTTAAACATATCATGTTTTCTTTATTGCTAATTACTAAGACAAGGCCAATGTACTCCTCCAGATTCTATCATTTATTTTAAGTAGATGGGAGTAAAGGGAATTAAACAGTGTAAACAGAAACTTGTTTTACTAAGTTTGAAACTTTGTCATGGTCAGTCTTTCCTTAACAGCCATCATGTACTAATTAAATGATGATCACTCAGACCATTCAGCAATAAAGTTTAAAAAAACGTACACCTCCTGTATGTCACATAATTTAAAGCCTGTGTCCTTTATGTTTATTGCATAAACCACAATATTCAAAATGAGATATGCCAACTGTGGATTGTGAACTAAAGTGGGAAGGAATCCTCCCAGTTTGAAGCCAGTGCAGAATAATCATTTTCTAAACTATAAGCTTTGAAGATGGGCATAATGAAACCAAAAACATTTTAGTCATCGTTGTTTTAACTGAACTGTTATTCTTCTGAGTAACAAAGGCAAATGGGAGAGGTCAGAAACTGATAATGGTGGTCTACAAAAGTACCGGTTTGCAACAGAGGCGCAGTTAACCTGAAGCTAGGTAACAGAACAATCTAAAGGACTAGCCAGGAACAGCAGAATAGGACAGGGTGGCAGATCCACAACTGCATCTAAAGTCCTAACCCTTCCACCAGCCTTGGTAAAAGGTGTGGAGGAGAGGGCAGTTGTTCCTGACATTTTTTGCTGCATTAGCTCCATTAGTCATTGCCACCTGTGGGAACATTGCTGGTGGTAGCATGCACTTTTCCAAACTTTTATTGGGCATGGCAGGGTTCCTTTATTGTGGTGGAGTTAGTAGCTCCCACCAGCAGGCAGATCAGGGGTTAGGATTGCTGTCTTAGTTGAGGGAAGACTATGAGCCTTGAAAACTCATAGGAGGGAAATAAGGAAGCTGTCAGTGATTCCAAAAGCAGTGATAAAATTAGATTAACAAACTTCCTGTAAATTAAATCTTCAGAACCTCCACATGCGGTCAGAATGCCTTAAAATCAAATCCTTCTGGACAGCAGTCCTACAAGAAATATGCAGAATAACTAAACAGGTATTAGAACACACCCCAGAACTGGCCATAGTGAACATTTTCCAAGATAATAATGCCCACTCACATTATAAAGAGCTCATACCCAACTTCTCAGCAGCCAGAAGCGTCATAGCCAGACACTGGAGCGACCTGTCAGAAGTAAACATAGACCAATGGTATCAAATAGTATGGGAAACAGTTTTATTAGAAAAACTAACCAATAAACTGAAACTGACACAGGGACAAATAGGATAAGACACCTTCACCCTGGTATGGTTCCCCTTTATCACATACATAGCCCAACAAGACAACAAGAATCCACTGACAGCATACAAAGCATTTTGGCTAACCTTATCCAAAAATACACACACACACACCACTCCAAACTAAAACAAATCTCACTGCAGCCAACCAAAGACTACCTGCCACACCTTAGGCCCCACCCCCAACCTCTCACCGCCAAAGAAATAAACAAGCAAATAGTAAGAGAACCCATACAAGTGACACTGACACAAAACCCCACACAAACACCAAGTAGAAGAATCGAAGAACAAATGAAACTGATCTGAAATAAAATACAACTTGAAAAAAGACAATGCACATATTTTGGCAAAGAAATCTTTAATATTTTTTTTAATGAACAACTAATTACTAAATCATATTATGTTGTCCTTATCCAAGTACTGATTCGCCTGTGTGCATTTCACATACAGCCTTGGGAACTTTTAGGTTACCTCCTGGTTTTGAGGGTCCTTCCCTTCCTCTGCTAGTGTAGTTATCTGCATTTGTATATGTAGCAGTGTACAAATTCCCCCAGAATATGAGCAATTGGCTTTTTATCTTGGAGGGAGAATGTGGAAATCTCTGTACCCAAGTATTTCTGCTAAATTTACTGATAGCAACGGAATGTAACTGTAGCATTAGGTGAAGTTAATTTTACTGTGTTGTTTTTATATTTTCTCAGATTTTCTTGTTGGAAATTTATTTTCATCTTGATCTGGTGACGCATATGAAGAATTGGTTCATGCTATAATGGATTTTAAGTGGTACCTTCAAGAAAATAGGCCTTATAATAGAGTTTATGTCTGACAAGTGGTACGATTTACTGCATACAACAATGACAACCTCTCATATGAATGGGCATATAACAGAAGATTCTGACAGTGAAACAAAAAATGTGGATCTTGTACCGCTTGAGGAGCCTCAGAGGCACAGAGAGATGGCTGTTGATTGCCCTGGTGATCTGGGAACCAGGATGATGCCACTGCGGAGGAGTGCTCAACTTGAGCGAATTAGGCAACAACAAGAGGACCTAAGGCGAAGGCGGGAAGAAGATGGAAAGAAACAGGAACTGGACCTTAATTCTTCTATGCGGTTGAAGAAGCTAGCTCAAATTCCTCCCAAAACTGGAATAGACAACCCTATGTTTGACACAGGCGAAGGAGTTATTCTAGAGAGCCCACATTGTGCTGTAAAAATCCTAGGTATGTATAACTTGGAATGAAACTTTTTAATGAAACTCCTGCTGGTGCCAAATGCTGCAGCTACACAGTTGATGGGGATAGACTATCACCAGCACCTAACTCTGGTGCTCAGAAATTTTTCACTGGCTGCCCATATGCTACCAAGCCAGGTTCAAGGTGCTTGTATTAATTTACAAGGCCCTTAACAATTTGTGTCCAGGATACCTCAAGGATCTCCTAATCACTTATATCCCTAAATTGAACACAGGTCCCTAAATTGAACACAGGTCTTCAGGGAAGTCACTGTTAGTGGTTCCCCAAGGATCATATACACAGCCCATAACCACCAGGGGCTGTGTGTTTAGAACTGGGGGCCCAATTTTGTGGAACTTCCTTCTGGTTGACGTCAGACAGGCCCCCTCCCTACTGAACTTGCAGCATCTAATGAAGACTTTCCCCCCAGCAGGCATTTAATTTGAAGTTAATGGTTTTAATTGATTTTTACTTTTTGTATTGTATCATTGTAAACTACTTAGAGACAATTGTAGTATAGCAGTATAAATTGTTTAAATAAATAAAATTTAGGAACCATGTGCTCTGCAGGATAACATTTGGAGAGTGCTTTAAAATGCTGCTTTTATATTTGTTTTAAGTTCAGAAAGCATGTCAGAAACTTACTAGGCAAAGCACATGCCATGCATGAATATGAGATGCATACTAATGAGAGCAAACAACAGAGAGGCTCTAAGCAAAATGTTTGTATTGCAAATAAATTAATGCAAATCTAACATACTGAGATGTTAAGGAGAAATACATGGTAAGCCAAACAGCCATGCCTGGGGAGACACCAGGCAAAGGGCAACAATTATATTTGCTATGCCTGACAGGACTGGAAGTTAACAGTTAAAAATTAGTGTCGCTATACATGAACAAGCAACAAAGCTACTGCCTGGGCACATAACAGCAGCAATCCTATTATAGCTTAGCCAAAGTATGTATAACTGAAATAATCACACATTTACCCTCTGTTTATTCCACCTCCATTTTTCCCATTCCTGAAGCCCTTAGTGTGCGGACCTGTCAAGAAACATGTACATGGATAGTGCTGGATAAATTAATAACTAAATGATAGTGTAGAATTTATGAAAGCAAATGTCTATTCCCCTAGGTTTGGACTATATTCCTATATACATTCCTACTGATGGGCATATTATTTGAGTAAAATGATGACCTAATATAATTGTTGTGGTAAATTAAGTGTAAAGCAGTAAGATATATAAAGGTGGTTAAAGGTAATTTTCTAGCTGCTATAATGTTAGACTGAAAGTTTTCTTTATATTATGGGAGTTGGTAAATTACACCAAGCTGGGTTGTGCAAATTCTTGTCCAGTTCATTTTCTGTCTCTTCAACACCTAAGTCTCTAGTTGCAGTGACCTCTGGAGGCAAAGCAGTGGCTATAGCGATAGCATGTCAAGTCAGACATCATGCCACACAAGTTATGATTTGCAATCCACCTCAAACCATAATCATATATACACTAATAAGAATTGGCATTCAAAAGAACCAGGTTTGTTATGTAGGTAAAATAGCACCATCCAAACAAAGAGGAGATAGAAGGAGGGTTGATAGATTCCCACATATGACAGAAATCTGGTAACACTTTACAACTAAACCTTAAGGGAGGAACCCACACAATGCTGACTGGTTTGCAGGATGGGCACAGAAAAAGGGGTAAATGAAGTGGATTAAGGCTTGAACAGGAGCACTCTACACTGAAACATTTTCTTGTAGTCTGTACCAGTAACTTCTGATTTGCGGTTTGCTAGCCAGTTGCTAACCATCCTTTATCAATTCAGACATCACATGAAACCATGATTAAGTGTCAGTAAATATGACTGGGTAGATCGTCTTAACTGTTTTGTAGTAAGGAACTTGGGTAAAATTGCCACTGGACTTAAAAGAAAATGTTTCTGGAACTATAAGTGGTTTTTAATGAAAGTAGCTACATCCAGCATAGGTAATCACAACAATATAGACATGCACTTTCACTTTCATCTGCAAAAAATGATTTGTTAGCTACAATATAATAGTGTTGCAACTCTTTCAACTGTTTCTGTTACTTTGCATCAGTTTTATAAATTGTTGACCTGTGTTGCCTTTAAAGGCACTGGTTGTATTTTAACTTTATAAATATGACTTAGAGCAGGGGTCAGCAAACTTTTTCAGCAGGGGGCCGGTCTACTGTCCATCAGACCTTGCAGGGGGCCAGACTATATTTTTTTTTGGGGGGGGGGTGATGCAAGAGCACCATGAGCCCTGGTGGCTGCTTACCTGTGTCTTGTGAGCAGCAGGAGCTGACAGCGGCAGAGGGACGGTGAGTGGCGCGCAAGAGGGCTCCGGAGAGGGGCTGCTTAAAATGGCGGCCGCTCAAGCACTGCTGCTGCTGGCACCAACAAAGCCCAGCCCCCTTCCTCCTCTAGGCAGGGCGGGGGGAAGCCAGGAGGAGGGAGGGAGGAGCCCCCGCCCCCGTGTGAGGGAGAGGAAGGGAGAGGGAAAGAACACGCGCTGACGATCCACGCGGCGATTCCCAGACTGTCCGTGGGCCGGATCCAGAAGGCAATTGGGCCGGATCCAGCCCACAGACCTTAGTTTGCCTACCCATGACTTAGAGCAAGCAGTCTGAACCTGTTGCTGTGGTGATGAGAAGAGATTTAATTTGAGAAAATGCTACAGTTGTGACTTGATTTTTGCAGACCAGTAACCAGTCTTAGATACAGTATATGTAGGGGGTCCAGTATTCATTCTCTTAATTCTTTATTTCTTTAAAAGATTCTGCTTTCTGTAGCCAAAGTCCTAACCAATGCCCAGGCATTGTTCCCCCAAGCTTCATTTTTCATAGCATTCCGCATGGAAATGCTGCAGAATTGTTATGTGCATTTGACTGCATTCTGCCTTATGGTTTTTACTCATGAGAGTGTTCTGCTAAATTCCTGGCAGTTACAGTGTCATGCAGGGAGGATTAATATATGTGAAAGCCCATCACAGCAGGTGTGGAATGGCTTAATCTCTGCTGAGAGAGAACCCATCCAAGGATGGCTTTCACTATTTGGAAAAGCTCTGCCAGATGGGACTTCATGGAGACATTGGCAACTGTCACCAAAATACAGCCTGAGTAGCATTCACAGCCTAGGCATTGGTTAGGACCTACCAGTCGGCAAAGCTCTTGTTCCATGTGTAGTCCTTCTTGATACCATTTACATGTTGGTTCTGTAGGGTGGCAAGCCACTGAGGCTGGCTTGAGCGTGCTTACAGATTAGTCCCATCAGTTCATTCTGATGGGTTTGTGTGGAGAAAGTCCCAAAGGTCTAGAATTCTTTTGGTTGCATCCAGATCTTTGACATTAACTTGCTAAAGCAACCTTCAGAATAGGGATTTCCTTCAGCAGGGGTGGAAAGGGTTAAACAACATCTGCAGGGATTATGGTTTTTCACCTGTTTTAATATTTTTTGACTCTGTCTTTCCTCAGTCTCCAGTAAAATAAGACTGACATTTTATGCATTAGTGCATAAATACTAGAATAAATACTTGCTAATTTGAGGAACTTGTAAGGGAAATACCCACATTTATGTGAAATTTTGCAGATCACATGTAAGTGAGGTCTCAAGTCTTCAGCCTTCAAAGTAGTTGTGCTTACGAGTAACTGAATATTGACATCTTTAAATTTCAAAGGGTAGAAGAAAATAAGCACTAAAGAACTGCAGTGTGTATTTATAGCATGGATTTTTCTGTAAGCGTGGCATATTTTCTGCTTTCCAGATTCAACATTTGACACTTTTGCTGATCTTCAAAACAAAATTCTAGCTTGCTCTGAAAGCTGTCAAACTTGGTTTAAATGTGTGACTGTGTAAAGAATTCTATATCTTTTATGTTATTTTATTTTATATTTTATATTTTATTTTATATTTTATTTTATATTTTATTTTATATTTTATTTTATTTTATTTGGAAAGGAACATTGTTCCTTCCCTCACTAGTTTGTCATATGAGTAAAGGTAAAGGTAAAGGTACCCCTGCCCGTACGGGCCAGTCTTGACAGACTCTAGGGTTGTGCGCCCATCTCACTCAAGAGGCCGGGGGCCAGCGCTGTCCGGAGACACTTCCGGGTCACGTGGCCAGCGTGACATCGCTGCTCTGGCGAGCCAGAGCCGCACACGGAAACGCCGTTTACCTTCCCGCTAGTAAGCAGTCCCTATTTATCTACTTGCACCCGGGGGTGCTTTCGAACTGCTAGGTTGGCAGGCGCTGGGACCGAGCGACGGGAGCGCACCCCGCCGCGGGGATTCGAACTGCCGACCTTTCGATCAGCAAGCCCTAGGCGCTGAGGCTTTTACCCACAGCGCCACCCGCGTCCCTTTGTCATATGAGTACTTTTCCTCAAAAATCATAAATGAATACAGTGGTACCTTGGGTCAAGTACTTAATTCATTCCGGAGGTCCGTTTTTAACCTGAAACTGTTCTTAACCTGAAGCACCACTTTAGCTAATGGGGCCTCCTGCTGCTGCTGCTGTGCCGCCGGAGCAGTATTTCTGTTCCCATCCTGAAGCAAAGTTCTTAACCTGAAGCACTATTTCTGGGTTAGCGGAGTCTGTAACCTGAAGCGTATGTAACCTGAGGTACCACTGTAAATCAAACACTTCACCTGTTGATATACCATACTTTTCCATCTATAAGACTCCCCCATGTATAAGACCCCCCCCCCTTATTTTGGGGGACTCAGTTTTAAGAAAATGAGGGGAGATGGCACAAAGTTGTTGAGCTTTTCACCCCATGCAGCTGCAGGCAGGAAACACTCCCTAGACCGTTTCCCTCACGCTGTGGCATTGGGGGAAGCTCCCGCCAGCCAGCCAGTTGGCTGGAGCGCAACTTCCCCTGATGTTGCTGCACGCAGGAAACAATCTAGGGAGTGTTTCCCGCTTGCAGCGGCATCGGATGAAGCCAGCCAGCTGGTTGGCTGGAGCGCGATTTCCCCTGATGCTGCTGCGCACGGGAAATGATCTAGGGAGTGTTTCCTGCGTGCAGTGGCATCGCGGGAAGTTGCGCTCCAGACAACCAGCGGGCAGGTGTGCTGCTTCCCCCCCCCCCCCATGCCACTATCTGTGTATTGGACGACACCAGGTTTTTTTACACAATTTTTGAGTCAAAAAACCTTGTCTAATACACAGAAAAATATGGTATTACTCTTCTGTATGTTAAGCGTAAGCGATTCTGCATTTTTAATAACACATACTTACACAGGACTATAGTTTCTGTTTGCATTTGTATTTTTCTTCAGGATGCAAGTTGGCTATAGTTTGAATTTTGTTTTTCAAGGAAGGGAGCAAAAAAAACCCCTGCAGCTATTCCCTCCTCTTCCTCATTTCTTTTTTTACTTTAAATATAGCTGCTTTTAGATTTTGTCATATTTAAGTCATGCATGCATTGCCTTGGGTTGTAAAGTTCCAAAAGAAAATAGTCCTTTACCTGTTAATTACTAGTGATGTTCCCAAATAAGAATTTGCTTCAGAGAGCAGGCATATATTATAGCCTGTCCTACTTTTCAGAGATGCCTAGTTCAACATTTATTTAATGTTCATGACCCAGCACAATTTCCTCTGCCTCCTTCAAATCTGCTTTCCTGTCATGCTGAAAAGGAATCCTCCCCTTAGTTGCACTTCTGTTTATTCTCTGGTATTAATTTGAGTGATATGCACATTGGATGTCTACCCTGTCGCTGCTGAAATCAGAAAATATAGAGTATCGCATAAGGTAAAAGTAACAGTTCCAAAGTATTGAGAAGAAATCTTGCTTTATTGTGAGTAAACCATGTTCTCTTCAAGTTTGGGAGAGGAAGGGTGGACAGCTTTTTCCTTCTGCTAGCATATCTTTGTACTTATTGAGATGCTGCTCTGCTTCAGACCTTTGTCCACTGTCAGCATGAGAGAAGAGCTAAAAAGCTCCTGTATTTATATTTTCTTTTAATTTTTGTAAGCCTATATTTTCTTTTAATTGTGGAAAGCTGTGGGGAGTAAATATTAATGTATGACTCATCGCTTTAGCTAGAAAATGGGAGTTATTGTGATGTATCTATATTTTTAAGACCAACATACCAAATCTAGAATTAAACTTGTAATGCCTATGTTGCTGTTTGTGAAGCCAAGATAGAATAGGGTTGTCTTTACTGTATGAGAACAGTGGGATGTTTTCGCTCTCTTACCTTTTCAACATTCACTCTTATTGCAGTCCTTCTTTAGCCTCTTAAGGTGTTCATATTTTGTGAGAAGAGGTGGTGCTTGAGGGAAATTCTCCCACCACCACCACCACACACATTCTGTGTGTGTGTTGTGGGGGGGGGCCAGCCTTCGTGCTCTGTTCTGGGTTCTTTGAGCTGCCAGAGTTCATATCTGGAAGAGAGAGAATACAGGAGCACAAGAAGGTGTTATAAGAGCCTTGTTTTTGTTGGGAGGAGGTGGTTATGCAGAAGAGGCAAAATGCTAAGCAGGCTAATGTACTCATCACATGTGTATTAATAATTTCTGAGGGTGGGGCAGGGAGAGAGAAATGTTTCTGCAGAGTTAAGATTACACTGCAGTTATGGGTACAAATTGCTTATCAATTCATATTAACATATTAAACTGGCTTGTGTGTCACATTAAGCCATAGGTTAACTCAAAATACTCTGCTTCACTCCTCCCCTGCTCCTTTCTTTAGTGTGCTAGGAAAACAAACCAGAGGCTTCTCTTTCCACAATATGTGAACCTGTGCTCATGGTTTCTTTTTCTCCCAACAAACTACAATGGTAAACTCATTGACTTTAAATCAGAGTTTATCCTATGGTTTAAAATGACATATGAACCAGGTCATTCACTTTCAACAGTGTGTCTTTTGCTACTTTTTATGTTGACTTTCATTAAATGTTTCTGATAAAATATGCATGCCACCTATGTTTAGACATTACTTACTTTGAAACTCTTCTAAAGAATGATAGCAAATCCTTACTACTTTTCAAAGTACAAAATGAGATAAAAATCATTTATGTTCCAATGAGAGTTCACAACTCAATAATTCATTTTCTGTTCTCTTTTCCTTTCATATTTCAGGGCTGTGTGTGTGTGTGTGTGTTGTGGAATGATAGAGCTATCTCTGCCTTATCCTCTGCTCCACCTCCCCCACAATTAAACTATTTGGCTTTAAGCCATAAGAAAGTTGTGACTTTTATATCCATAGAACTGACAACAGTGCATAATTTATCTTCCTTTGTGTAATCATCTGAGTATATACTACAGTGGTGTTATGAACCCTTCCTGTTCAGGAAAAACAGTCTCATGAGTGTGAGCAGTTCTGAATTAAGTTGTGTGGGACACCCAGAAGAAGTGGCATGAAGTTCCAGGGAGGAATAGGATCCTAAAGCAAGTGCTGCTACTACCAAACAAGACCTACATAGACTGTTCCTTGATCGTGGACCCTTAGTGATCTACATCGGATTAATGTGGGTGACTGCCCTTGTAATGCCCTGACGTCCAATATGACTTGAGAAGGGAGTTCAGAAAGAGTTGCTTCTTTGTATGTGGCTTCTTTTCTTCTTAATGCCAGTGTTGGATTTACTACACAAGCACACAATAGCAGACTGCATACACATAGCTGCATTAAAGGCTATCCTCCCATCCTTCTGTGCAAGTTTATTAGGGTCAAGTTTTGCTGCCTGAGAAGGCAAGTATAGGTTTAGAAGGATGCAAGTTCAGAAACTCTGACACTCATAATGGGGACAATGACCTTATTTGCACATCAAATAAGCTCCTGTTAATGTGAACTCCCTGTTGCTCTGTCCCAGCTTCTGCCAACCTAGCAGTTCAAAAGCATACCAGTGCAAGTAGATAAATAGGTACCGCTGTGACAGGCAGGTAAACGGTGTTTCTGTGCACTCTGGGACTTGTCATGGTCCTCTGTGCACCATTAGTGATTTAGTCATGCCGGCCACATGACCTGGAAAGCTGTCTGTGGACAAACGCCAGCTCCCTTGGCCTGAAGTGAGATGAACACCGCACTCCATAGTCACCTTTGACTGGACTTAACCATCCAGGGATCCTTTACCTTTACCTTTACCTTGCACATCACAGCAAACCACAGTGAGTTGTTTACCATGAACACACTGAACTCTCCTGTTTTCTCTTCCCTGGTATTACATGAGAGAAATAAATCACAATTCCTGACTGAGCATTGTATCTGAAATAGGGTTTTGTTTGCACTCCAAACAAGCCACAATGTGAAGCCAAAGTTTCACTGTGGTTTAGTGCAGAGGTGAGGAACCTCTAGCCCATGGGTCATTCTTGGCCCCCAGGAGGTCCAGTTTGGTCAGTGAGGCTATTTTTCCAAAATCATGTCCACCTGTCAGTCTGCTGATATCATGCATGTCTTCTGATGCCCAGGAGGGCAGGGTTCTGATTGCCCAGGAGGGCTGTGCACCTGTTTGCAGACAAAGCAGCAAAATTTAATCCCCTGCACATCAGCTGATGACTGAGGGTTAAATCTTGCTCAGTTGGGATCTCTAGCATTTCCCCTGCTGTATAGCAAAGCAAGCAGCCACGGGTTTTTTGCAAGTTGTCTGATTTTTGTAAGCCTTTTCATCAGGAGCCAACTCATGTGTGATGTGGAATTGCAGTAATTAAGTACATTTACATTTAAAACACATCTGAACTTTACTGTGATGTATGAACAGGGCCATTGTGTAATCAACCATTGATCTTACCATATTAATGTTGGAATTTATTGGACACTAATTATGACTTGAAGCAATATGCTAAAAAGCATAGAAAAGATACATTGTTGAATAATAATTTTATACCACTGTTAACTGAGGTTTATCAAGCCTAATATTTATAATAGCAAAAATAATTTGAAAAGGGCAGTTTTAAATTTTTTTTCCTGCAAAGCCTTGCTCTTCTATTTGTGCCTTTCATCTTATATCATAACCAGTTCTTCAGAATGAGGCTTTTCTTTTTTTGTTTCATTTACCTTATATATTCAGGCTAAGTAATGTATTTCAATTTTCTTTTTAGAAGTTGAGGAGCTTCTATCATCTCTGAAACATGTTCAGCACACCCTGGTAGATCCCCAAAGCCAAGAGGAAATAGCTCTAATTTTACAGCTGGTTCAAAACTCCGACTTTCAAAATGCATTTAAAATACATAATGCGGTTACCGTGCATATGAACAAAACCAGTCCACCATACCCACTTATCTCCAATGCGCAAGAGCTTGCACAAGAGGTATGTATAGTGTACATTCCCATCCAATAATGAAACTATAGTAGCTTATTTCAAATTGCCAGTCATAGCTATGTCATTAAAATGGGGAGGGGAACCAGCATATAGCCTGTATTACTATCTGTTTTCTTTGTCCAGAAGAAAATAACTTCAGACTCTGAGAAGGTAGAAGTTTTATCAGTAGAAATGTAAGATGGCACACAACAGTGTTCAGTATCCTAATTGATTTAAAAGATATCTCTGTTCTTCTGCAAGCTTCCTCGTTTAGGCTTCGTACTTCGGATACAATTCAATACCCAGGACCCAAAGGATCATCTGACTAGTTATGCATGCCGAAATGGACACTGAGCTTATTACTGTTGTGTCTTAAACAGCAGTCTACCATATCTCATTTCAAATAACCTAAGGAGTCTCCCAAAAGCACATTTTGGTATGGAGTGGTAGTCTGGTCAGAGAAATAGTTTAAAGTTTCACTGTAAACCCCCAAACCCTTGAATGTTCTTAAAGTAGCTCATAAGATCCTGGCCAAAAACTAAATAACATCAGCATGGTATGCTATTCAGCATTGAATTGCTTTTACTAAATTAATAGCCTCTAAAAAAGAAAGTGTATTGCAGATAAAGCAGCTTACTATAACAAACCAGTGTTTTGATTATCACCTAAATAGGTGCTTGAAGCAAGCCTTTACCTTTTCTGCTTCTACCACTTCTGGCAATTTGTTCTATTTTTCTAACACATTTAAATTAGTAAAGGAAGCAAAAGTTAACGTGGACTTGGCAGTAAATGTCCACTTTTCTTGTTACTACCAGGCTGATAGTAGCAGACACTGCATGTGTAATTTTTACAAATGTGAAGCAATTGCATGCAGGCACAGATCTGAGTTCATTCAGTACCTCAACAAATCAGCTAGTGAGTCTTGTTAACTTAAATTCTGTAGAATGAATTGGATTTTGTTTCTGCTAATGTTCAGAAGACTGACAACTACTGCTACTTTGGACTAGCCAGTTATATAAAGTACTTTAACAGCCTATATGTTTATTTTGCTACTTTGAATGTTTACATTGCTTCTTGCCATCTGGAATTCCTGGGATGTTTGAGATGTGGATGGCTTTATTAATACTATTTTTTAAAATAATAACAATATTTAGAATATATAATAGATGTAAAGTATTCAAAGCATTTCAGGCTAAAATATATTTTGCTTGTTGAGATTCTATTTTTTCATACACAGATACTGTGCATTCTGTTATATCTGAATAGCTTACAATATTGAGCAAACATTTATTAGGATGCCTTGTCTTATAACAAAAAGAAACAATATTAGTTTTTATCTATCTAATGAAAATATGGCTGCAATTTTAAGAACAGTCTATTTTGAACAGCTACTTTGCAAGGTCCCTATGAGAACTGGAAGCCTGGGTCAATAACAATAAATAACTATCCTAAGTTTTTTCATGTTCAATACCACAAGAAAATAGGACCAGCTGCTTAATTTGAGGTCTATGTCTGTATCAGAAGAGCCCTCATTTTTTAGTTTTCCTTTTAAAAAGGCCATAAGAAAGTATTTTCAATAGCTTGGATAAGTGCATGGATGCTGTGCATATGCCCTACTGGGAGGCATTCCTTGTACTTTCTGACTAATATTCAAAATAGAGTATGTTGTTTGCTTTATTGCTTAAATGTGAGTACTGTGTAGGATAATTCTCAATCCAACTATTTCCTCACTGTTGTTAGGGACAAAAGGTAGTTTTAATAACAAGGCAAGGAAAATATGATTTATCTATTTTTCTGAAACTTTAATTTAATTAGGAGGCTGAGCAAAGCATGCAGGCTTAAGGAATTTATGTGGAGATTAACTCCCTAAAATAATGTGGCGCACTCTGTCTCTGTTATAAAAATAGCTGTTGAACATCAAATTTAATTACATTGATTTTAAAGCCAGTTAAACACGGCAAAATTGAGAGCTAGGATTAGGGGGAAATAGTCTGAGTGTTGAGCCTCAAAGATCAGCTGATGCAAGATTCAAGAAAGTAGTTTCTGGCATGGAATGCTCTGTCACACATTGGCAAGATATTAAAATTCTAGACCCCATAGCATAATAATAGAGTGGACCTTCTAAGTGACAGTCTGTTTAGGATTTCTAAGGAAGAAATGTTTGTTTGTTTATAAAAGCACTTCTATGCTGCTTTTCACATGACGTACCAAAGCGGTGTACAGCATGTTTAAAACAACATTGCATTAAAACAAATAAAAATATGTAGAAAAGTAGTCATATAATAAATGCAGGAAATGGAGAGTAAACAATCCAGCACTCAACAATCTACAGATACCTGGGTGAACAAAAAAGTTGTTAATTGCTTGCAGAAACACATTACTGAGGGGAAACTATTTCACAACATGGGCACCGCTGTAGTGAGAGCCCTTTGCTGGTTGTCGCTAGATAGATCAGAGCAGGCCATGGAAGGGACTCTCTGAAGATCTTAGTTGACTGGTTCCCAGATTCTTTAGGCCCGTATGTAAATAACAGAACTTTAAACTTGGCTTGGGAGCCAATTGACCATCAGTACAGTTCATTCAGGAGAGGTGTTACATGCATGCAGTAGGATGTGCTAGTAAGCAACCTACCCATGGTATTCTACACTAGTTGCAGCTTCCATACCAAGTCTCAGGGCAGCCCCACATGGACAGCTTGTTACAGCAGTCTAATCTTGAGTTTACCAACATGACTGTGACTAAACTGTAATCATCCAGAAGGAATTGTAGTTGGCATACCAGCCAGAGCTAGTAAAAGATGCTCTTTGCCACTGCACTTACATGGACCTCCAGTAAGTAACAATGATGGTTCTCAGAGAAACCCCAAACTTCATACTTGTTCTTTCAAGGAAAGTGCAACCCTGCCCAGAATAAAAAATACACCTGATCCCTGGATCTCTGAACCACGCATTCACATGGCCTCTGTGTTGTACATCCTAACTGCCCAATAGACTCAGCCTGTTTTAAGCAAGACTCCTTACAGATCTGAATGTCAGTCTGTAAAGCAATTAACTTTTCCAGGGTATGGGAGTTAATATTGTAGTGCCAAACGTCCCCCAATATTCACACACATTTTTTTGCTGTTCCACCTCAATTTCTGGTCCCCCCTTTTTTTTTAACTGTTAACAAGGTATTGATGGTGGATCAAAGCTAGTGCCACACTGGTTTTGAAGGAAACATCATTCACTTTGAAGTACAGAAATGAGTGTGATCTGTATATTCTGCAGACAACCTTTCTCTTTGAAATTATTTTGCCTGTCTCATAGCCTCAATCGTGAATATTTTTTCAATGAAAATGTTATGAATACTGAGGATCTGATTCAACCAACTAGTCCCACTAACAGAAGCCCACTCAAGGACTTCTGCCAGCACAACAGGGCATTTCCCCTCTCTTCCCCATGTGTCCCCCCCCAAATTGGTTCAGGGGGATCAGGAGAACCCTCAGAACAGCATGCTTAGATGGAGAGGGGAGATTGCTCCATCTCTGCAAGCAGAAATGATGGAGCAATCTCCTTAGTGCTATGTTGAATCCCTCTCATGCATTCTATCTCATGCATCTCTGTCAAAATAGAAATTTGTGTAGCCATTCCTTTATTATTTTATTTTTATTTTTTAAATCTGATATAAAGTGTTATATAGAAAAATCAGCATCAGCTCATAGAAAAACAAACTGGTAGCTTTGGGTGGAGTCTCATATTTGTAGAATTAGATGTATCCATGGGTAGAGAGATATTTAGTGGAGATGTTGCAGGAGGGGATGTTCAGCTCTGCCCTGTCAGCCCTGCCCTCTCACCAGTATTCACTCTGCAAGCCTATTTCCAGACTGGCCTAGCTAGAGGAAAAATAATTGTGGTTGGAAGAAAGGGTTAAACACTCTCACTCTCTCTTGCTCTTAAAAGTGTCTGTGTGTATGTTCTTTAGTCTATGAAAATGGTTTGGGAACCAGTGTTTGTTTATGTAACATGAAGTTCTGCCTTTTTTAATTCTGGAAATGTATTCTTACAGGGTGTAGGAATGTATTCTTATTTCAGGTGTTTGTGTGTGTTATGGGGTAGGATATTAGACGTCATCGTATTTTTGGTGTTCACCTGTGTTTCAGGTACAGAGTGTTTTGAAGCCAAGCCATCAGAAAGATGGATTGGAACTTAATTCTTTATTGAATGCCCCTCATATTCAGGTAGGAATAAACTGTTTATTTGCAAATGAAAAAACATTTCCATTGTTTTCTTAATGTCTATGTATTGTAAATTTCAGCAACAACAACAATTGTAAATTTGTATTGTAAATTGTATTGTAAATTTCAGCAACAACAACAATTGTAAATTTCAGACTCCCCCCCCCCCTGCCTAATATAGTAAAGTTCCATGGTCATGATTCAAATAAATAATAGTTGCATACTGCAAAAACACACCTAAACAGTAGCTTTCCTTTTTGACTAAAAACTTCGAAATTCCAGCTACATAAGTTCTCTGCTATGTGTGCATCCTGCTATTTTGAAGTTTTGCCAGTAAGATACAGGTATGAGTCAAACATCTCATGAGGAATGTCCAGCTGCCTCATGTGCTACACCTTCACAGGACAACTGCAATTAAAAATTAAAACAAAAACAAATGGGCAACAGCTATTTTCTGTTGTAATAATGGTCACAGCCTGCATTTATGAAAGCACAGTCCTTTGTTCATTCAACCATAATTCTTGGTTATAGCTCTGTTATGTAGCTACCCATCCACGCTGAAAGCAAGAGAAAACATGTATGATATGACTGCCTTGGACCATAGCCTGCACGTTGAATCTTTATCTGCTTGGATTTTTTAAAGTGTCCCACTTATAATAAATTACCTCTAATGTGTGAATATCACTTTCTATAAATGGCATTGTTTGTTTTACACTAGGCACTGCTGTTGGCTCATGATAAAGTTGCTGAGCAGGAAATGCAACCAGAGCCAGTGACGGATGAAAAGATTTATGAGAATGTAGGTCTGTATGGAGGAGAGACAGTTAAAATAGTTCGCATTGAAAAGGCTAGAGATATTCCATTGGTGAGTATACTGAGGCAAGAGAGCCAATAAAAAGATGAATACCATAGTACTTTTGTATTACTCGGTCTGATCTCTGTGGCACATTCCCTCTTTAAAAAAATGCTGACACACTCGGATATAAGAAAGGACAGGTGCAAGTACCTTTTCTTAGGCTGATCCCAGATTCTGCTTTTAATGTGCAATTGGCATGCCTTCTTCATGAAATTGTACAGTTGACCCACATGGCACTGTGATCTGTTTGTAATCCTCCCATATTTTCCTAGTCTGCATCCATCTTTTTTCTTACCTTGGATGGTCTTATGAGGAGCATCACAATATTTTTGCAAATGTGGATGGGAAAATGCGCAGTTGGTGAACAGTAAGAGGAGTTACCCTGAAGAGGATGAATGAGGTTTAGGGGTACCCTTCCTTTATTTATCATTTGCCCTGCATTCCTGATTCAGAGCTGTTTTTTTCTCCTTTCCCTTGATCTAAAACAGCTGGAACACTGGCTCTCAACTAATTAATTGCTTCCTGGAACTAAATGTCCTTAGCCCCCACACTTCAATTAGGTTTTTAATGAGGGAAAATTCAGCTGTGCTGTTGCTTTTATAAAACGGTTACACGTATTTTCAGGGGTTCCTTAGTGCTCCCCTTGAAAACAGCAGTTCTTAATTGGAGTAAAATCAGTATCCTTACATTGTGGGTTTTAAAAGTTTTTTTATTGTGTTCATGTGTGAGGATAGCAATGACAGTATATAGAAACAAAAATCTCAAACTACAAATGAAATACAAGATATAATCTTGTATGATATAATATCTCACACATATATATATCTTATCTAAATCTTACATTATGGTCCTCAGTGTATTCTAATGTATTCATAGTCGATTAAGACATCACTCCAGCCACACCCTTCTCACCACTTCTGGAAATGTCTCATATTCTCCATTGTCCATTGTTATTGAATAAAGTCTCAGCACACAGCTCTAACAACCTGTGGCTGTGCTCTACATAAAGGTACCAAATCAGACTGGATAACTGTTAATAAAGTGAATCACAGGATCTGGCTGCTCCTGGTAGCTTCTTAGGTGAAATAATATCTACTCTAAAGACAACTTGCAGTTACACCTCTGATTTTTAAAAAAAATGAATACAGGTACAGGGTGGGAGGCTTTCCTCAGAATCTTCTCTCTTCCGTATATTCTCCTAGAAAAAACAATGGGAAAGTTTGCCCCCCCCCCATAAACAGAAAGGGAGGAAGCTGAGGAGAGGAGACATCTGCCTCCCCTCTCCATATAGAGCAATGTCCCATGACTGTCACCATCATCTTCCGTTCTTTTTTGAAAAATGAAAAGATGTTGCTGCCAGCCTTCCCTTTTCCTGCCATCTTGGATTACGAATAAAGGAGTTCAATTTTCTAGGCAGATTTTTCCTTAACCTGCTTACCTCCCTTCACAATGTACAAAGCATTGCTTAGAGCTCACTCTTTATATGTGTATCTGTATGTACCTGCACAGTTTTTTCAGTTTTCCATGGTGAAATAGCACAACTACCGTATTTTCCGCCCTATAGGGCGCACCGGCCCATAGGACGCACCTCGTTTTTTTGGGGGGGGGATGAATAAAAAAAATTATTCCCCTGCCCCCAGAACAGGCTGCTATCCGCAAGCCTTTCGAGCCCGGCGGCAACTCCCGCCGGGCGCGCAAGGCTTGTGGACACCTGCGCGAAGCACGGGGCGCCCTCCGGAGGGCGCCCTGTGCTTTGGGCTGCAGGTTGCTGCCCGCAAGCCTTTCGAGCCCGGCGGCAACTCCCGCCGGGCTCACAAGGCTTGCAGATAGCTTCCTGAAGCCTGGAGAGCGAGAGGGGTCGGTGCGCACCAACGCCTCTCGCTCTCCAGGCTTCAGCGAAAGCCTGCATTCGCCTCATACGACGCACACACATTTCCCCTTCATTTTTGGAGGAGAAAAAGTGCGTCCTATAGGGCAAAAAATACAGTAAGTGTTGTTGTTTTTTTAAATGACTTAATGCACTCAGGAGCAGCTTTGAACAGCAGTGGTAACAGGTCCAGATCTCCAGCTTTTGACACTTTTGACAAGGAGAGGACGCTGTAGCTGGCAAAGAGATTGGGTTGTCAAAAGTTTATTGATGTGCATGCACATACCACCCCAAGCAACAAATCATATCTTCCTCATGTACACTACTAAAATGTTTGAGAAGCAACAGCTTCAAAAATGTTGAGAGAATGAGTGTGCGTCGCTAATAAGAGCTGGGGAAATGAGAGGGAGCAATACTGCCCACATAGCTATTTCATTCCTGCACCTTAAGGTGAGATAGATGCTTTAAGAAGCAGGAGACTTCTTGGAGAATAGACGATCAATTGCAGTTCCACTTGTAATCTATAGTGCAAGAGTATTAATTTGTAGCACTCCTGATTTTGTGGAATGGAACATGAAATTGATGGCTCATGTTCTCAGGCTGTGCTGAAAATTTAATTATATCCTATCATTGGAAGACCTAGGTGGTGGTTTTCATTTTTGCTTGTTTGTAGAATGACGTTTTTATTGGGAAATTGAACTTAATTGCCTGTTCCTATATTCTATAATGTACCTCTCAAATCTGATCAGTGACTGAAGCTACAGTATTTCGAATTTAAGATACAGATTTGGTAGTGCTACTGTGTTTCTTCATACACTAGTATTTTCCTCACTGCTTTATGCATTTCAGAATTTCCATGTGGTAATTTATAACAAAATCAATAAGCAAGCATGTCTAGGCTGCACCTTTTGGTAGTTCCACTAGGACCTGATCATGGCTCAACCCTCATCACCACCTAAACAAGGTTTCTGGTGTTGTGGATCAGAAAGAATAATAAAAAGTCACTTCATGGGGATGAAATGATCCTTTCCTTGTCCCCCTCCAACGCTGTGGGTAACTGTCCTTGACTACGGCTATATAGCAACAAAAGGAAAAGGCAGCCTTTAACTCATTGAGTCACAAATATTGATGCTAATGTTACACATTCTTTAATTAAAAAAGATAGGTTACAACAAAATACCCACGGCACAGATTTGATTTAGCAGCACCATTACTACATGAAGTGCTGCAGGTAACGCTAAGACCCTCCCTGTCTTGTTCCTTTAATTGCAATCATTAAATGTTTTTAATAGTGATTGCATGATCATTTCACATTCTCTTCTTCAAATGTCAGTGTGGCTAACAAATCCAGAATAACAGTAATAAATCTATTAAATGCCATATCATCTAGAAGCACAACAAGATAGCAATATAGGAGCATCATAAAAACAGTGTAAATCAATAATTAAAATTCATTAAGAAGAGAAGCTTTCAAAATCCCAACTAAAAATGGGAAGAATATGTTTTGATGAGCTGGATACTGTGCCTCCCTGCAAAACAAGAAAAGCTTATTCAGGTTCATTTTATTGTTTTTGTCTTCTCTTAGACTTTTCTCTGATGTGCTAACTATAAAATTACAGTATTCATTAGAATCTGTAGAGAACTTGTATTTTCAGAAATGTTATTTATTGTTGGTTATATTTCTGCTCTGCCCATCATCAGGAATTCAGGGTAGTATTCAGCATACATTGTCTTATGAAGTGAGTTAGACTAGAGTTATAGACTGACCCAAGACTGATTGGGGATTTGAACCTGGGTCTTCCCAATTCTACTTTATCCACTGCACCACAATTATAGAAAATTTCTGACACTTTTAAATTATCACTTTTAATTATGCAGGGCGCTACAGTACGCAATGAAATGGATTCAGTCATCATTAGTCGAATAGTGAAGGGAGGTGCTGCAGAGAAGAGTGGGCTGTTGCATGAAGGTGATGAAGTTCTGGAAATTAACGGAATTGAAATTCGTGGAAAGGATGTTAATGAGGTTTTTGATTTACTGGTATGTTGAGCCTTGCTTTCATGGTATTCTGCTACTTACTATGATCCGACTTGTGCATTTAAATTTGTTAAATTCCAGTTCAGACTTTGATATGTTTTGCCAGCAGCTATGCTTAAAATGTTTGACCCCTGCATACCTTGCAGACAGCCTATGTCTTGTTACAGTTTCTAAGGTCAGAGGAGGACAGCCTCCTGAAATTGCCTTCAGCACAAATGGTAGCAGCTTGCAGGGTTGTTAATACTTGCTCATCAGTTCTGAAATGCTTCTTTCCCGGAGGTGTAGCAGAGTGCAGTCCTAGGAGTGAGACATTTAATATAAGCAGGGCTTTATAAAAGTATTTAGGATTATATTACTTGAATGCTATGTATAATTGTATGAGACTTTTATGTCTAGAATGTGGATTGTTCTGCACCTGTTCCTGAATATGCCAGAACCTATTAGGAAATGTTCCAAGTTTGTATTAGGACATACTAGGAAATGATCAAAGTCCAACTCTTCTTTTAACCTGGCACTCCAGAAGGTTCCATGTCCTTTTTGTCCAGTCAGCTTTGAATTGAATAATTCCCATGGACTGGCTTCAGCTACAAAGCTGCTTCATCCTGGCTTTGGGTGTCATTTTCATTTCCTTAGTGAATTCCAATTGTGCTGCCCTAGGAGCACCATCTGACTTTATTTTAGCATTACCTAGCCTGGCACATTACTTATGGGTGTAGTGTCTGGGCTAGCCATGCCTGTTGACATTAAGAGGTGAGACTTGAGACATAAAGCACAAGAATTCCCTTCCTGGGTTATACCAGAGTCCACTTAATCAAGCATTCTTTGTCTCAATGGTGACCTGAAGCCTGTGAAGCCATTTATCTCCTTGTTTGGGGACCAGGCTGTTTTCTGAAAAGTGGAGGCAATTTGTCACATAAATATGCTAGACTAGAGCACTTCCAAATAGGGGTAGGGAAACTAAGATTAGAGTTCAGGGAGAAGAAAGACCTGTAAGAGCAGCAGCTTGAAATTCCTCCCCTCCCCTTCACCCAACCCATTGTTGCTCCCCATGAGTGAGTGTCTAACTTCAAGGCTGTTTTTAAGTTGTCAGTTACTAATGAATGTGCTTTTCCTCACAGGCGGACATGCACGGCACGCTGACATTTGTCCTGATTCCCAGTCAGCAGAGTAAGCCACCACCCACAAAAGAGACAGTGGTATGTTCTTGTGGCATATTTCCAGTATATAACTTACCTTAATCGCAGGTGTTCAGTCGGTTTTATATTCTCTTTTTGTTGCTATTGAAGTCTTGTGTGTCTCCTTCACTGAATAGTAGACTACATTTAATTTAGCCATGCTTTAAGAAGAGATTTTGAAAATGTTGGTGGAAGCAATTGTAAGTTGTCCCATAACATAGGGTTGCCATACGTCCAGACAGTGCTTCCAACTTCAGTTTTCCGGCTAGGTCTGGGAAATTCCAGACGTATGGCAACCCTACCATAACATCACTTTTTGACACTATTGAAAACACATGACATAGGGAATCCATTTGTTATATAAAGTAAGGAGAATAATAAAACTATTCTTATCCTTGGCCTTGCCAAGCAGTACCTTTTCCTGAGTAGGCATTTTGCGGAGGAGGAAAAAATGGGTTTTGGGACACTTATAATCCTTTGAGTGACTGGGAATATTAGAGGGATGTCTTTGGCAAGCAAGATTTCCTGTTTAAGAGGCAGGAGAAAAGTAGATAAGGATTGGATGATGGAGCAAAAGGCTTTCTGGGTGATTAGACGTGAGCTGTTAAACACAACAGATGTTTCTAGCATGTTATGTGCTGCTAATACAAGCAATCTTCATCTGATTTTTAACTCTCCCTGTACTATATCCCAGATCTTCCCTGCAGTCCCGATTCCACAGGAGGCTTTGGGAAGGGCACAGTGGCCAGTAGAGAAGGGGAAGGAAGCCCTGTTGTGCAAATGACCTTTTTCATGCACATTATTTTTTAGTACAATCCGTTACTTGTTAATCCCATTTCAGGTTCTGCATTACCATCTGATACAAACTATCTTCATTTTCATCACAAAACTGCATCAGCTTTAAGCAGGGAACCTTTCAGTTTAGAAATGTCTTGAGTGTTTACTTATGTCTCAGTGAAGAAATAAGGTTTTCATACTAGATTCTGAGAGCAGAAATCACATTTGTTGTATTGATTTTATTCTTTAAGCACCATAGAGATTTGCTATTAAGTGTCTTGTTTCTGTAGTGACAGTTGTATGTGCAAAATGGTAGATATTGCCTTGATCTGCGGTGTGATTTCAGTTGAGATTCATTTGCCTGCGCCTCCCCCACTTTTTTCTGTGCCACCAGGATATTCCTCTTATAGGTATGCATCAAAGTGCCCTTTCATTGAGCTCAGAGTGACATTTCCCACCCCACCCTATGTAAGCAGAATGACTTCTCATTAAAAAATGAAAGTGGTGGAGGCGGGGGGGGGAGCAGGCGCAAACATCAAGTCATCAATGTTTTCATAATGCAAGTGTCAAATTTATTTTAAAATTGGTATTGTTCGCTACAAGAAAGTTTGTTCTAGCTGTCTACCATCTCTGTGTTACTTGGTTGATTGTGTTTGGAAAAAAACACCTTGCTAATAATGAGTGAACAGAAGTATCTGGAGCACGCTTTTCCTAGCCATCTCCCACATGCATGTACATGTGCCGCAGCTTTGTAATGCTGCACTTTCCCTGACAATTTGGATGGAGAAACTGGTTGGAGCTTGCTTGGGACAAGTTGCTTGGGATAGTTAAGCAGGAGAGCAGGCAGACCCAGCCTCAGTTCACACACATTCCATAATGGCTTAGGCTGTTTTGGAGGTGGGCAGAGGCAAACTTTCCTTTGGAGGTGATCCGAGAATAGAAAATTAGTGCTCTCTTCTGTCTCTCTGATTTAAATTTGAGTCTGCCTTTTCAGGTCTAAGTTGTAGAGGGGAACCCCTCTTGCCACTTCAAAGTTACTTACTGCCCAATTAATTGTTCCTAATTTTTAATTGCCTTCTATACCAGTAGTTTATATTTTTATTTATGCTTGAGCTTTTCATTCTGTATTTGAAGTGAAAGTGGGATCTCTTATATACAAAAGGAACATATTGTCAGAGATTAATACTTGCAATTCCAGTCCATATTTATGTGTATACCTCTATATTTTCTAGATCCATGTGAAAGCTCACTTTGACTATGATCCATCTGATGACCCCTATGTCCCATGCAGAGAGCTAGGCTTATCCTTTCAAAAAGGAGATATACTCCATGTGATCAGCCAAGAAGATCCAAACTGGTGGCAGGCTTATCGAGATGGAGATGAAGAAAATCAGCCTTTGGCAGGCCTCATTCCAGGTATTTAATCATGAAATATTTATGTGTATATTGAATATGTTTTTTACAAAGAAGTTTCAGATACCATTGTTGTTGAACTACTGGGATGTTGCTTTGAATTGTTGTTGCATAGTCTCCTCCTTTGGTGAGCTGCTGATATGACCAAATTCCCAACAGGAGGCCTAATGTTGTAGATGTCTTTTAACTTTGGCATTTAAAAACAAAAACAAAATGAAAACACTGATGCAGAGGTATGAGAAGAATTCTTATTGTGGGATTATCTTCCTCAAAGCGCTTATAGGGATCAAAATCTCAGTCCATTTTGAAATGTGATCACTCTTGAAACAGTGGTGTACTCTGAAATGGCAATAATTTCTCATTACTAATTGTTAAATGTATTTTATCATTAAGGGAAAAGTTTTCAGCAACAAAGAGAAGCTATGAAGCAAACTATAGAGGAAGACAAAGAACCAGAAAAATCAGGTAGATGAAAATCTTCATGAAATACCTATGATAACTACCGTATTTTTCGCTCTATTGGACGCAGTTTTTCCCCTCCAAAAATTGAGCGGAAATGTGTGTGCGTCCTATGGAGCGAATGCAGGCTTGTGCCATAGCCACGCGCAACCCCTCCGGCAGGGAGAGGCTGCACGGGGCTATGGCTTCTTTAGCCCTGCGCAGCGTCTCTCGGCAAGGAGAGGCTGCACGGGGCTAAATGGGAAGCCAAAACAGCGAGCAGGATCCATCCCACTTGCTGCCTTGCCTACTTCCATGGCTGCCGCAACCGCTCCGCAAGGAGAGGCTGCACGGGGCTATGGATTCTTTAGCCCTGCGCAGCGTCTCCCGGCAAGGAGAGGCTGCATGGGGCTAAAGGGGAAGCCAAAACAGCAAGCGGGATCCATCCCGCTCGCTGCCTTGGCTTGTTCCATAGCTGCGCACAACCCCTCTGGCAGGGAAAGGTGGTGTGCAGCCTGTACGCTGCTCTTTGGGGCTGGGGGGGAATATTTTTTTTCTTGATTCCCCCCCCCCTAAAAACTGGGTGCGCCCTATGGTGCGAAAAATACGGTAATAATCTTAAAAGAAACTCAGTCCTTGAACTGTACCTCCTCTTTTTAAGTTCAAATACTTCAGTGATAGTGAGCGTTTATCCACAACTTCCATAACATGTTTAAGGAGAGCTAAACTGACTAAGCAACTTTTGCTGAGATACTGTCATATTTGGGTGAAACTTAATGTACTCAGTGTAGACTCACTGAAATCAGCAGACAATTGATCTACATGGGTCTATTCTGAGTGTGATTTAGCTATCTATTGCACTTTGACTCAGGTACATGATTACATATATGGATGTATTGTACTCAGGTGGGGGAGTGTTCATTTTTAAAAATTAAAAAGATAAATAACCAAGGGAATGGACAGTTTTGCATGTGTGGTCCCACTGACAGAAGACAGAAGTAGCAGTTCCTTAATACTGATATACAGACCAAGTAGGGAGTACAAACCTCTATGAACTTTCCTTCTACTTGTTCTTGCTAGTATAGCCAGTTCTTTAAAAAAAATGATATCACATTTCCAATATGACAACTATCCACTGTTTTGATATTCCAAGTGCCTCCTTAAGACACTTCTTTCACCATAGCTTATTCACTTTACTTACTTTTTCTTCCTCTCTAACATGTCACAGCTGTTCCTTGAGATCAGGGTGGCCACATGTTGCTGGTCCAACTCCCATCATCCCCAGCTAGCATGGCCAATGATCAGGTATGATGGGAGTTGCAGACCAGCAGCATCTGAAGTAACACATGTTCTCCATTCCTCCTTTAGATCATAAGTCTGTGTAAGCAGGGTCTGCCTTGTGTTTAATTTGTGTACAACAGCTATCAATTTAACATGCTTTATAAAATAAATAATTGCAGCTGGAATCTTAGTTACATATTTGGACAACTTTGACTCTCTATTTTTTAACTTCTAGGGAAACTTTGGTGTGCGAAGAAAAATAAAAAGAAAAGGAAAAAGGTTCTGTATAATGCCAATAAAAATGACGGTAAGAAGGGATTTCAGCTATCTTCCAGTATTTTTTCTGGTTAGTGCAACTGATTTATTTTTCAGCTTACGATGTGTTAAAATTATTGCGCATAAATATTCACCCATAGTTATTTCTATATTATCTGGACAATATGTTTTCTAATATTTCTTTCCTGATTATAATAGTGAATTTTCTATGGGTTTTTATGTTTTAGAAGTAAACTGCTAGTCTGTGACTGTAATAAACATTGATTTTAGAAGTGATAAGCCTTGGACACTGATCCTTTGGCATTCAATTAATGTGAAGAAATGATAACAAAACTATTACACAACAATAAAAGACTTATTTTTTAAAGCTGTTCTGAGGTATTCAATTCAGTTTTACTTAGAGTAGACCCACTGAAATTAATGAACATGGCAGTTAGGTGCATTAATTTCAGCAGGCCTACTCTTGAGTAAAATATAGTTGACTATCACCCCATGTTTATTTCTTCCTAATCAAATATGCCATACTTATTTTGGCCTTGTTTTCTCAAGATTATGACAACGAGGAGATCTTGACTTATGAGGAAATGTCACTTTATCACCAACCAGCGAATAGGAAACGACCCATTGTCCTGATCGGTCCACAAAACTGTGGCCAGAATGAACTTCGGCAAAGGTTAATGAATCATGAAGCTGACAGATTTGCTTCTGCAGTTCCTCGTAAGTTGAAAGGCTGGGGCACAGAACTGTCTTGTGTTCTGATGTCAAACCCTTGCTGCCTGACCTTACATCATTTTTGCAAGTTCAGTTCAGTACCACGCTATATACCTTAGTATGGAGGAAAGTTGCTTTAGTAAATTCTTCCCCAATACAAATGTAGGGAGTTACCATAAAAAATGTCCTTTGACCCAGTGATGCAGATATGTAATTTTTAATGGTATTATAACTCTTCCCCCCACATCGTTAGATGATTATGTGTATTAAATTAACTAAAAGTGTAGTAAGGCAGCCCTGCTCCATTTTGGGCCCTTCTACTTATTTCTGCTGAGTGGAGCCCTGGACTTCTGCCACAAAGTCCCTATTCTGATTGTACCACTACTTTGATCCCATTCATGAGAACAAGGCAGTTTATTGAAGTAACTTAGTTAAATTCTCATTTACAGGAAGGTGATTTTGCTACCTTGCATTCTCCTGTATTTTCAGTTGTATCTGACATCCCCTGCTTCATGTTTTTGTTCGAAGTACATTTGCATGACTGGACATGTGTTATGCACAGTTGGACATGTGCCAGCAACTGCTGTATTATGGAACTATTTTTTTAGCCCAGTTAAGAGTTTGCGATTCTTTCTGGCTGAAAGACTCTAAAGGTCAACATTGTTAATTTTGCACTTATACAGTCTGCTGAAAAGGGTTTCTTTCCAAGTAGCTGTTTTTCATATCTTGCAAACTGACATAACAAAAATGCCTTCAAAACAGTTAAAAGACACAGAAGTCTTAAATTAGATTTGTTTACTGGTCTTTTCAGATACAACACGAAATAGGAGAGACAATGAAGTGGCTGGCAGAGATTACCATTTTGTATCACGGCAAGTATTTGAGGCCGACATAGCAGCAGGGAAGTTTATTGAGCATGGTGAATTTGAGAAGAATCTGTATGGTACCAGCATAGACTCTGTCCGGCAAGTGATCAATTCTGGAAAGATATGTCTTTTAAATATCCATACACAGGTAATAGAAGTTCTTTTGGACATTGAAATCCTAGGTTCTATGTTGCAGTAGTTCAGTTAGAATGTGTTGTTGATGAAGGCCTTAGTTTAGTTGGTTTTGATACAAATGTGAAATCTGTCTATGTATACACTAAAATTTCTCCTAGATCAGATGTATGCGACTTCCCTAATATGCTTCTGTGCAGGCAATAAATTTGTACATTAGTTGCCCACTCTACATATTCAGTGGTTATAGGTACTGAGCAGTTTTCATAAGACTAATTCCTAAATGCATCACTCTTCAGTTTTCTCTTTGGAGAACTCCCCATTGTAACTTTCCTTACCCCAGTAGACATGTAAAAGGAAGATATGCATCCTTAAACATGCAGTGGACATGCAGTAATGTTGCTTTCAGTCTCCCATTCACATTTCATGTTTACCATAGCAATCACCAGTGTAACTCATGCACCATACACAGTGAGAAGCAGCTATAATCAAAGGTTCTTCATGCTTCATCCACTTTCACTGTGGTCATGTTAGACTTTCTTCAGAATCCTCATCTTGTTAGGTCATTTAAAAGCATCTGTGGACCACATGTTGCTAAGTCTTGAATTATGCTATCTGTGTTTTCAAGACTAAATATGAAGAAATAGCAAATTACTCTATAAAAATACACTAATACTGTAAATAGCAGAATTATTGTAACCACACTTAGCAAGGGTGTAGAATATTATATTCTTCACCACGTAAAGAGCAACTCATAGTAAGAATGTGGATTGTCCAAATTCAAAAAATTTAGTCATTAGAATATAAAACGTAAGTTCCTCACAGTTCCTGTACACATAATCATTTTAGAGTTGCAGAGATGCGTACATGATCATTATCATTTTTCTGTTGTCTTCTCCATTTTGCTGCTGTCAGAAGAACTGTCATCTGGATAAGTAGCATGGTCTACTATTAGGAAAATTGGACTCGGCTACCCTGTATCAGTTGCAGTTTTCAGCTCTAGTTTCAATGTAACTATCTCTTTGCTAGCTTGTGTAGTTCATGAAGTTTAAGTTCCTTTTTTTGGTTATTTGTGCAGCCCCAACTGAACGATTTTTGAGATCACATGTTGTAACTTGTTAAGCTCGTTTCTCCAGGAGCAAACTGGCTTTTCTAGGTAGAAGCCTTGCACAATCATTAGCGTAGAAAGTCACCATTTATATATAATGTTGTATGCATAAATTGTATTGACAATAGATAATTGGTATGAATTATGGTTTTGCTTTGTTTTATGAAAATATTAATCGTACAGATTTATATTTCCCAACAGTCACTGAAGAGCCTTCGCAATTCAGACTTGAAGCCATATATTATCTTCATTGCACCACCTTCACAAGAGCGGCTTCGTGCATTACTGGCCAAAGAGGGCAAAAATCCAAAGGTAATATTCACATGTAGTGTTTATAACAGTGCATTCAGCCCCTGGTGCTCCGACACACATTTTCTTCAAATATGCTAACTGTGTAGCATGCAGCAGTCACAAAATTCAGTATGAGAAGACTCAGGCAGAATTGCAGACCTAACTTTATGCCACAGAATTCAGTGTTGGTGGGTTCTGCTGCTCCTGTTCAGGGTTATGACATCCTCCTACTGCTTGTGTCCAAATATACATCAGTAATACATGATGAGGGCTTACTGAATTGGGACACTTTTAAGTAAATATACATATGAGGGGTGAGGAAGCTGACACTACGTCACCCTTTCAAGCAAGGAAACTGCCACATTCTTCTTGAGAGTCCCCAAAACCTCTAGCATGTTGAGCATGAATGGAGAAAGTAGAGGTCTTGTTGTATGAGCTGAATTTTTCCACTCACATGTGTGCATTGGTTACAAATTCTACTGACAGAATTCTACTTTACTTGGTATTCCCTTTATTATAGACAGAATGTGTGGCAGATGCTGAGTTCCTGCTGAATTTTTTCTTTTTGGATTCTCTGTTTTGATGTGTTCCTCCTAGTTTCTGCCACCAGGTGGTGCTGGCCAGCTATTTTTGATAGTGTTTTCAGTTTGTCAATGTATTACAGTGCTAGCTTGGTTTAAGAACAGCTTAGTACAGGGGTGAGCAAACTTTTTCAGCAGGGGGCCAGTCCACTGTCCCTCAGACCTTGTGGGGGGCTGGACTATATTTTTTGGGGAGAGGGAAATGAACGAATTCCTATGCCCCACAAATAACCCAGAGATACATTGTAAATAAAAACACACATTCTACTCATGTAAAAACACTAGGCAGGCCCCACAAGTAACCCAGAGATGCATTTTAAATAAAGGATACATTCTATTCATGCAAAAACACGCTGATTCCCAGACCGTCTGCGGGCCAAATTTAGAAGGCGATTGGGCTGGATCCAGTCCCCGGACCTTAGTTTGCCTACCTATGGCTTAGTTTATGAACAACTTGGATTAAGAATGCTGCAAACCCGGAAGTAGGTGTTTTGGTTTGTGAACTTTGCCTTGGAATAACAACATGTTTCGCTTCCTGTTGAGTGTGTTCCATTTGTAAATTGAGTCCCCCACTGCTATGGGAAAGCACACCTTGGTTTAAGAACGTTTTGGTTTAAGAACGGATTTCTGGAATGGATTAAGTTCGTAAACCATTCTGGAGGTCCGGTTGTAAACCAAAACAGGTTGTAACCCAAGGTGTGCTTTCGCCATTGGGGCCTCCCCCCCAAAATTGGTTGTAATACAAAAAAAATGGGTTGTAATAAAAAAAATGGGTTGTAATACAAAAAAAAAAGGGACATGCACTTCCGTGTTTGACATGGTTGTAATCCAAAATGGTTGTAATGCAAAGCGGTTGCAAACCAAGGTACCACTGTACTTAGAAAAGGACAAAAAGCAGAAGCCATCTAAGCTGGCTGGCATGACTGTTGGTGATCACTAAAGTGCCTTTATCTTAAATTTTGCATTCAGTTCCCTGTTTAAAATAGAATCTTCCAGGTTTCACAGCACACCAGCTATTTAAGCTTGGCCAAGGGGTAGGGGGTAGATTTGTCCTTTAGGGGTTCAGCCCCCAGATCAGATATCCTGTTTGACAGGTGATCAGGGTTGCATGTGTATACCTGGTATTGGGAACCCAAGACAGGACAGGGGTTATATTGGTGTATCATCTATTCTGCTGCCTAAAAGTCTCCCTCCCTAAGCTCTTGGAGGTAATCTTGGACATAGCGTTGAGGACCTTGAGGCAGCTTGTACTGGGATGCTCAGTGTTTATGCCAAAGTTGCTTCATCTGAAGAAGCTCAGAATGTTATGGCCTCCATACCAACCATGGCTCTTTCTGAAACTATAACCGGGCTAACATTGTGGCAGGAAACACACTGGACTGTTTCTATGTTGTGGGAGCCAGTCGTGATTCTGTCATGGACAGATCATCATCTGATCTATTTTGACTTATAACCTCTATAGGAGGGAAGGATCAAATTTGAAGGTCTGCTCCCAAACCCTAATGAATCCAGGTGGTTTTATGAGGTCATTAGGGGATTTTCCTGCAGGTTTAGTCAACAGTCTTGTTTAGGTCCTGATCTTTGCTTGGAATGAGGAGATGACCATGGTTATCAGCAAAAGGGAGTTCTGCAAATTCCTATGATCCCTGGGACATTATCCCAGGGATTATAAGATTGTGCCCTAGTGATACATTGACTTTCAGACCTGCCAGTACTTTGTTTTGTCCTAATCAATCTAATGCTGCTTTTTCACAAGACTGACATTTTTGTGTAATATATCCATAAATATCAGTTGACATAATATACTTTCGTTTAAATTTCAGCCTGATGAACTTCGAGAAATTATAGAGAAAACCAGAGAGATGGAGCAAAATAATGGCCATTACTTTGATACAGCTATTGTGAATTCTGATATTGACAAAGCATACCAAGAATTACTTCGTTTAATTAACAAACTTGATACAGAACCTCAATGGGTTCCATCCTCCTGGCTACGGTGAAACAGTTACAAGGAAGAAAAGGACCTTGCCATAGAATGCTCACCTGTATATTAGATGATGGATTAACCTCTAGTCCTCTGTGTGCACAGATTAACTGTGTGCTTTAAAAAAATAATACTCATAGTCTGACACCATTCTACTGTGATTTTGAATGTCTCATCTTTCACTACCTTTTTACCAGACATTGACATTTTGAACAAGCCACTACATTTTTAATCATTTGAAAACACTTTCAAGCGGCTGCTTTAAATTTACCTTTTCTGACTAGAGTTTTTTTCTCAAGGTAAATATATGTATACAGTCCCTGATCACTATAAAAACTGATTGTTATTTAACGTTTTTAAGTTAATTATGCTGCGGACATGATGGTAGTTTGCAAAAACACCTTTACAGAATATTGGATAAAGAAATATAACTACAAGGGGAATGAAGGAATTAATCTACAAGTACTCTCAAATGTATAAAGGGGCTACTTTGATTTGAAGTTGCCTTCTTGGGCTTCAAATTGTTGTTGAAACATTCCATTATCTAATCGCACTGCAATTTTTGAAGATGTGTACATTGTAAATATTTCAAACTTTTTTTGTCTTTAGTTAGTGTGTAAATCAGATTCACAGCTAATTAAATAACAGTAAGTCCTATGGAAGGTTATATATATATATATGCTGATATTTTAGATGTGGTATTTTATGAATTTTTTCCTCTTTGCTATATCAATTGATTGAGAGCCACGGTTAACACATGGGACTATAGAAGAGTTTAGATGGGAAGCTATATTTTTATGAAAATAGAAATTCTTATATGGATTTTTTAAAGAATACTTTGCTTCCTTAAAATGTAAATTTGTCTTTTATAACCAAGGAAACAGACTTTGGGATGATGAATATTAGAATATTTTCTTGTATTTTTATACCTAGGCACAAGGTGTCTCATGGCTGTTGATCATGTAGGTAGTTATAAAGTGGAGTTTATAATATTAAGTAACCCAGTTATCATCCTGGATTTAATTGATACTGTTGTAAAACAAAACTAGTGGAAGAATGTGAATGTTACTAAATTAGGAACCTGATGTGTTCTGTTTCTAGAACCAGCATATCCTTATATGCAATTGAAAATACCCATAAAGGTTCAAATATTACAGCTATTGCATTTATGAAACTTCTCTAATTGTAGCTGCCTTTGAAACTGATTAGCTTTGTTGCTTTGTGGCACCCTTAATGTGAATATGAATAGTTTTCTTTGTTCTCAATCATAGCTTTTATTTTTATATACTGTCATACACTGGAACTACTTCAACATGTAGCTGAATATAACCTAATAGTTAAGAATTAGTCTTTCCATGTTCTTTCATATTTTTCTCTGAAGGATTAAACAGAAAATCCAAGCAGGATTGAAACTTTTTTGTGTTCATAGTTGAACATACAGTATACATTGACATATGGAGAATTGGGGGGAGGGGGGTAATACTATTTAAGAACTGAAATTCCTCTCTTAGTATTATGATCCACTCCCCCACCATGGGAGAAAAGAGAAATTTGGAATCAGCCAACAGTTCCCCTCCTCTGCAGAGTATATGCATATGATCTTTAAGCGTCGCACATTTATCAAGAGATTGTAAAATCACTCAACACTGTGCCTCTATCCAATTAAGCCTTTGGGTAGGAAATAGAAGTGATATGGAATAATCTATGTATCACTGTCAACCTGAAAAATAGTGATTTATCTCAAATTGTCAACTTTGCTTAGAATACAAAGCAGAAAAATGAATGTTGTGTTTCTTCCTTGCTTTGCTTGCTTTGATGTGATAGTAGACAACAAAATTCAGAAACTCTGGGCTAGTGCAGATATAAGGCTTCCCACCCTTTAAGCATGCATAGGGGATCAGGAATGGGCTATGGGATTATTCAGTCCTTTCCCCTTCCTTTTTCTCGCACAAATCCCCTTCCCTCCCTTGTCTTAACTATGCTTTGCTATGTCTACACTACTGTTAAACCATGGTGAAGCTTGATCACTGGCATTCAGAATCAGTATTTGAAGTGGTTTACAAATCCTATCTTACAAGGCTTAACAAATGTTCAGGATTGTGCAGAGATGAAGGTTCATGGTTAAGGATGGTAGAATCCGCACACGAAGAGAAGGCTAGGGAGAGCGCACACAGTGCCATGGCCTGCTCCCACTTCTTTAACTATGGTTAAGGAATGGAAAGTGTTTTATCTGCATTGTATAGTCTGTGCATTACCCAAATGTATGTATTTTTCATCATCTTAAGAGTTATGGTGCTGATGTCCATGAGGTCTAAATTTAATTACTTTTACAGCCATGTGAAATAATTCTACAACTCTAACAGTATCTTAGGTTTAAATGTTAAAGAAAATGCTGATTTACTCCATGATGCATTCTAGGACAGTATATGAAATACTGGTTTTGGCATACTAACTGGTTAAGAGTGATGTATTAACAGTAAAATCCCATTCGTTTCTCCTATCCCCCTTCTGAATTTCTAAGATGATTAAGAAATTAATTGGACATAGTCTTATAAATGCAGAAATTACTAAATATATTAAATGTGCCTGCCACCTGCTGTCCTTTGAGATAAGAGTGGTGGCCTAAAAATCCACACTAAGCTCTGGCTATAGAAATGCAACTGTGGCAAACAATAATAATTAAGAGGGCTTTCAGAAATCATCCAATATAACTAAATTGATATCTGTCAATTACTCTACTACTGACATTTGGAAAAGGATGTTGCACAATATTGTAATTACCGAAAAATGGGCATATCTGTTTGGATGAGGGAAGAAAATCCTAAACTTCTTTCAGAGGATACAATATTGTGTATTATAATGAGCTTTGCAACAAGTGCTGTTCTA